GAGATCGCCAACATGAAGGACGAGATGGCGCGCCACCTCCGTGAGTACCAGGACCTACTCAATGTCAAGATGGCGCTGGATGTGGAGATCGCCACCTACAGGAAGCTGCTGGAAGGAGAGGAGAGCAGGTAATTTATCAAACTATCCAACCAGGCCAAAATTGTTTTGTTTTAGTGTGCTGCCTTTACAATAAAGATTTGGAAAAGAAAACTGCCTCAGAATGTCAATATTTTATCCAGATACACATAAAATAACATTTAAAATGATATTTTCTACACTTTCCCTTCTCCCGTTGCAGGATTGCCTTGCCTGTGCAAACCTACTCCACGCTGAGTTTCCGAGGTGCACACACAGCTGCAGTTACCTAAACATACCACCAGGGGGCAGGCGTCCTTTAACCAGGACACAGGCCTTATTCTGTTTGATTCCACAGTCTGTTCAGATGGAGCCCGATTTACTGTTTTTGTTATACATTTCAATAAGATTTTACTTTTTTACCACATTAAAACTGTGTAAGATTAAAATTTTACTTAATTAAGAAAATGGGTGTTAATTAATTAATTGATTTCTAAATCAATTAACCTACAAATTAAATACAAACCCAGTGTTATGGGGTAGTATTTAATTTGTATTTCATAGGTCCAAGAGTCATCCACATAAAGTTTTCAGTGATTTTTCAAAATAACATAACACATTTTACATGTTAAATAAAAATTAAATGTATTCCGACCTTTGTTAATCAGAGACCAGCCCTGAGCAGCAGCGCTCCTCTGAGATGCATTCAAAGAAAACTGTCCTCATCAAGACCATCGAGACCCGCGATGGAGAGGTAAAACCGCTAAGATATAAAACTGCATTCATTAGCCTTGTAAGTTTTTAAGTCCCCTTCATAAGGATTTTTTTTTCTTTTGTTTGTTTGCTTTTCTTTTGATGTGATCCACCCCAGCACCTTATTCAAGAAATTCATGGAAAAATGTCTTTAAGTTCTATAAATCACATTTTATCTTATCAAACACCGGTAGAGCTTTATTCAACTGCACAAATGCTGCCTGGCACTGCTCTGTCCACTGGACCAGATCTGGGGCACACTTTTGAGTGAGATTAGTTACATGGCTGGTCAGCTCCACAAAGCCGGTCATGAACCGGTGGTCAGTATCTCTTTCGGGATGCCGACTCGGGAGATGATCTGAAACAGGGCCTGGAGGTGCCAGTGTTATGACTCGCTCTATGAAGCCTATCTTTAATCAATACGAAATACAGGTAGGTCAGTGCTGTGTCAGGGCAAGCATGTGACCATCATTTTTTATCACTTGATCAGAGGCTGAGGTTGCATAGAGTTTAGTCATGAGATTCCTCTAGTGGGAAATATCCTGTGGAGTGAATCGCTGGAGGCAGCAGGGCCTCATTAGATGGCCTCCTCCTCCCTAGAGTCAGAGTTGAATAAACTAAAGGTCTCTGCTAAGCACAGTACAAACATCCCCCTTGCTAAAGCTCGTGATTGTATCCCC